GTGTAATGAGATAACGATACCTGATTATTTACAGAAAATGAAAATGAACTTAGAACGAGCAGCTGATCAAGCATCTGAGAAATAGGCAGCTTATTCGAAATATTTTAATCCTCGAGCTATTCTTAAAGAATTTAAATAGGATATAAAGTTTATTTACCAATTCCTGACTCATCCAATAAACTGTGTGTAAGATGGACTGGTCCAGGGGAGATCATAAAAGTACTGACCAAGTCTGTCGATTTACCAGTAGAGAATATGACTGATTTAATTAATCAAATTGGACAAGCGAATATTAGCACTTGCTTATGTGTTTTCAACGGCTTTTGGAAGACAACTTTAGAAGAAGAGAGTCTTGATTTAACGTCATTCAAGATATGTCTTTCTTAATACCGTTGGAAAGAGATGCATTTTGGATTGAAAAATGAAAGCTTCTACTTTCCAGAGAGTGATGAATGGCGCATTAAGAGATCATAGTGATTTTTGCAAAGCTTGTATCTATAATATATGTGTCTTTTCATTATATTGAAACTCACATCTTAAACATTTAGATGTTGTGCTAACTACGTCAAGTCATCTCAGATTTACTGAGAATGTAAGAAATTTTTTTTTGTTTTGTGTGTGTTCAGAGATAAAATATTTAGGACATATAGCAGCTGGAAAACATCAGCTTGATACAGAAAAGTTGCGAGCCATCACAATTGTAGAAAGTCCTAAAACTAAGACTGCCCTAAACAATGCAATAGGTCTGCTTAACTATTACTGTGATTACATAAAGAAAAATGCATAAATAACTCATCTGTTGACAGAGTTCACCAAGAAGAAAATTCCAGAGATAATTCCATGATTAAACGTTGAGAAACCAACTTTTACAATATTTCAAGATCTAAAACGTCGACTATGGGAAACACCAAAACTTTACATGCCAGATACGAAGAAACCTTACATTATCAAATACGACGCTAGTTCTTACGGAAATGGTGCCTGTTTATTGTAGGGAGATAGCAAAGGCAATTAATTTGCATCCTATCAACTTTGCCAGTCAAAAATTATCAAAGGCTTAACAGAACTGATCAAATATGAAACGTGAGCCTTATGTTGTTGTGTGGTCATTAAAGAAATTAGAGTATCAAATATCAGTTAACTGATCAAATATGAGTTAACTCAGTACTGTATGTGGAAAAGGCTGCACTACATTCTGCTAAATTACAGAGATGGGCAATGGCACTTCAAAGTTTACAATATTCACATTTCCTTATTGTCTTGGTGCACAATTAAAAAAGGCAAGACTAGTTGGTGAATGAACTGTGTGTGAACTGATAAACTTAGGAAATTACATTAATTGTTTTAATTTTGTTACGGAATTGAACGACAGCTACTTTCCATTTGTTAATTGAAAATGTAGTGGTTTTTATTTTTGGTTTAGTTGCATATTTGTGTTCTGTTAAGAGATATACAGTACTACACTGACTACCAATAAGTATTTGGACACCTATACGAATGACGATATCTGCGGTCCTAAGGTACATCACGGACTCCGCCGGTATATATCGTGTAGGAAACAGCATCGGCTTTAGTCGCATGCAAGATGCCTCGCAGTTCGGAGCTCTCTGATTTCGAGAAAGGTATAATTATCGGGTCACAAATGTGGCGATCCTTAAGGGACTATCTGCGTCGAAAGTACCCAAATCGACAGTGGCCTATGTGATTAATAGTGGAAGGTGAGCGGGATTGTCGATGTTGCCCCCAAGTCGGCGACCAACGAACTGGGGATGAGACCGACTATGCTGTCCAGAAATTCTAAAAACGACACCACCGCTGTCCTCTCCGCAAAGTTTCAACAGCATCCGGAGTATTGTTTTAATGAATACCATCCGTAAGGAAGCACATCTGTTTGGTTTTCATGGTCGTGCTCTGCCCATAAGCCTTTGATCACAAAGTCCAACCGCGCTGCTCGGTTTAATGTGGTCAAACACATCAAATTGGACCGAGATCATGGGAAACGGTTCTTTGGATGACGAATCAATTCACCCTTTACCGTTCGGATGCAGGGTCGGGTCTGCGCTACCTGGAACGTCCCCGCCAGATTGCTTGTCAACCTCAGTCGGCGAGTGGAATTATTCTGGGGGTGTTTCTCCTCTGGTATGGGCTGGGACCCTGGTCCCATCATGGAACTCACTCCGATGCCTACTGCACATTTTGGATGACAAGTGCTTCTACGTGGGGCAGTTTACGGTTGGACCCCTTTACTTTTCAGGACGACAATGCCAGTTGTCAGTTTCGACGTTAACCAGCTTGGTATGTGCCAATGGAGTTCATCGAATGGACTTCCTGCCAGATCCAGACCTGAACCCTATCGAGAACCTCTGGACGATTTGCATCGCATTCAGGGGTGCACTACCCGTGCAAAATCGGTTGAAGGAACTCTATGTCTTCTCCAAGCCGAGTGGAAGAAAATACCACAGCTGTATACAAAGACTTGTGAATTTCCCGGAAGGTCCCGCGTAATTACCTCTCGTGGAGCTCCACTATTGATTTTGAATAAAGTTAGTTTTTCATTTCTATCACAGGTGTCCAAATACTTATTGGTAGTCAGTGTATAATATGCCATCTGTTGTGGAATAAATGTTTATTGCACTTATTTCAACAAAGTATGTTATTGCATAATATATACATTTCGTATATTTTGATTTTTTTAGCTAAAGGAAATAATAAATTGGAAAAGGAAAATATTATTGTAGGAGTTTTCGTATATCATTTAAGTGCATAATTTTTTTACTTTAGTATGAGAAAATCTGAGTATAAAGTAAGTTGTGTAATTTTTGCGTCGTTTGTATGAAGTATTATTGTTTGTGAATTCCCTTGCTGTTTCATTTGTCAGATTCTGTTTCGCTTTGGTGTAGCAGAATCTGACCAGTGGGTGGGTTTGTCAGGTGTCTTTCCGCGGTCAGCCAATCTGCTTCTATTTGCAAGCGAAGAGCCAGCAAGAGAGACAGACAGACATTTGAAGTGGTCTACGGTAGCTTCTGTGGTGTTCGCATCTGAGTTGGACTTTTGTTTCTAGTCGGTGGTATAACTCTATATGGTGTTCAGATAACACATGAGCGAAAAGCGTTTAATCCTACGTATATTCGTATATTCGAGGTTCGCGAAAAAAAAAAGTTTTATATCTCCCGTTCTATTGGGCCGATTGCCTAAATTCAAATTGCGTTTTTCATGTCTCGAAAGCGCGGATTGGAATATTATAGATTTATCTTAGTTTTTAAATAGTTTTTGACACAAAATCGGCTTTTAAATAAAATACCTTTTTTTTTTCATATTTCGATTCTACGAATCAAATTATGCCTAGATATTAAATTTTGTAAAATTTGGTGCTAAATTTACGAAGAAATTCACAAATTTACCTTGACACAATTTTTTTTAGTTTGCGCTAAGAATAATACACTTGGCGAACTTCTTAATGTATGGCAACCAATTTTCCTTTTCTTTCCATTATACCGGAGCGGAATAAAAGGCACCTCGTTCCTACTTTTTTACATTGTGCATGATCGGGAAAAAAGCCACATCGTTTCTACTTCCAAATAATTTTAGCAAAGTGTCTAAACTTAATTTGATGTTTTATCGCTTTCAACAAATATGCCAAATTTGAAAACGCGCCAATATATCAAGTTCGGCGGAGGTGAAATTATGGTCTGGGGGTGTTTCTCCTAGTATGGGCTGGGACCCTTGGTCCCCATTCATGTAGCTCAATCGATGCCTACTGCACTTTTTGGAGACAAGTGCTCCTCGTTGTGGCAGTTTACGGTATTACCCCTTTACTTCAGGAAAATAATTACGCATCTCGAAATTCTGATAAAAAAATTGAAATTTTGCAGGTCGCTTAGATCGTCTTTCTTTAGGTGATTTAAAATTTTAGATATAATCAAATTTTTTTTTGACAATTTATAAATTTTTAAAAATCAAATTTTCAAAATAACATAAAAACTGTAAAGTGGGAATGACCTAAATTTCGAAATGTGAAAGGAAGAATCAAATAAATTCAATAAAAAAAGAGGTATTATTAAACATATACAAGATTCAATTAACATGGAGGAGCTAACATTTTGAGAGTTAATTTTTTAAAAACGACTCGTGCGATTTTTACAAAACTTTAATTTGAGTCGCAGAATTGAAATATGGAGAAAAATTGGTATGTTATTTCAGAAAAAGTCCAATTTGTGTCAAAATAATTATACTAGAACAATGCTATATATAAATGTAATACGTATCCTAAGTGGCGCTTTCGAGACATAAAAAATGCAAGTTGAATTTCGTCAATCGGTCCAGTAGAACGGGGGAGTGTACCTCTGTAGTATTCTAAAACCATAACAGCAGATTCTTCACTTCCCCATGCCATGTTTTTGGACCATTTTCTTTCTTTTGAATGCTGATCTCCCATCTTGGGATCTACACATGTAAACCTCATCACCATGCACTTCGTGGAAACATTTCCGGTTGCAGAGAAGTACTGCTGCCGTAGTAGAAACCCTGCATAATCACATTCAAGGTATCAAAATACTTCCTTACACGACATCTTTTACTTGGCGATATTACTTCAACTTAAAAATTCATTATTTAAATTTTTGATAACATTAACCGACTTGTTGATCATAATAAGCGATATATTTTCCATGTTTTCGTATACAAGAGGATAGGCATTCGGAAATTCGGTAACAGCATCCGCATAATAATCTTAACCGTAATCCCGTTAAACAGCGCCCTCTATATTTGTCTAAAATATCTGTACCTGACATTTCAGCATTTCAGGTAGAAGGAAAGATCGCTGATGGCGCTCTCCTGAGATACGCTCTCGATCTATATAGAGTTTACTTAAATACCAGCAAACTCATCCCTAAATTAAGCTGAAAGGTATGAAGAATTGTTAATATACTTTTTCAACAAATCTTTTTCCTTAATGTTTAGTGTCATTGTGTGTAAACTAAATAAAGAACAAACAGAGGAAAATAATGCTTATGAAATTATTTTTCATTTAAAAAATGTTACAAATGCATGAAAAATTTAATGTGCATTAAGAACCACCAATCCATTTTCCAGCTAACGTACAGCAATCCAAGACTTCTCATTTCCGATCCATGGTAAGATGCCCCTATCCATGTTTTTTTCTTCCAGAAGACATTTTAACAGGTGGTACGAGTTCCAAACCTGACAAATATCAAGCATAAAATTACATAAATTTTTTCAGAACATAAAATAAATAATTATACATAAAGGCATAAAAATTTGTTTGAATTCAAAGTATTTTACGAAATTTAATTATGCTTATGTAACTTATCACAAGTTATAATGAAGTTTTTACATAATTAGCAAATTGTTTTCAGTTTCAAAAGAAAGCGACTATGTGGTACGGCTTAATTTTAAAGACACACAATATAATCTATACTTATTCTGTTTGAATATTAATTCAAAAGTAAACAAAAATGCTACTATTGACATAGCTATTTACATTGTTATATAATTAATCTTAATAACTCCAAAGTCATGAAAGCAGCTATCATCCTCAAGGAAAATATTAGGATGGCTGATATCTATAAAAGGTTGATGCTCAGTTACGATAGCCAGTTTTGTAAATAATGTGTTTGAAAACAGCGGTGAATAGAAGCCATAATCATAAAGGACGTATGAGACATCAACTCGTCTTGTGGAAACAATATGGCATTTTAGTTGCTGATTTTAGGGATAAGACTTTTTCATTAGTTTTCTGTTAAAATCTGCCAAACGTCTTCAAGGCAAAAAATCCAGTATTAGTACACATCACAGAGGTCTCTTGGAAGAATTATATAGAACCTTTACCGAAAACGAATACCGAGAATTATACTTTGTTCCTCTCCTCCATCGAATACTAAATCATTATCGCAAGAAGAGGAACAGAGCCTTCTAAACAGAACCACTGTTAATATTGTTACGAAATGTACAAGCGCGGTAAGATGGCTTCCCCGCAAGACAGTTTTAGGGTTGCCAAAAAAGAGCAAGGAAGACAGGGTTGCCACATTTGGCGAGAAATCGTCCATTTTGGCGACAAACTTGGCAATATGTAGGCGGATGGAGACCTCGAATTTACCGGCTTTGCCAGAAGTTCTCGAACACTAGCTTAGGTTCAGGTTAGTGCATCGGAGAGGAGCGGTTGACACGGGAACGATGAACTGAAGAGTCGAGCCGTGCTTTTGTGCGACAGTGCATCCGAGTTGTAGCGGGAGAGTCTCGAGAGTACGTGGAGTCCGAGAACGACGAAGTCGGGAGCGCACTCTGGCTTTGCAGGAAGCTGCTCCTACAGGTGAAGCTGGTTCCGATGTTCCAGCTGTTTAGTAGATCTTCGACGACTGAAAAGTGTTTTGGGAGACTGAGAACAGGCAATAAAGTGTGCTTCGATTTTCGCATAGGCCGTCGTTTATTCTCCAAATCCACCAACCCCGCTAGACGTGAAGGAAGTAAACCAACTGGTGTCAGAAAAAAACGTAACAATATGTTTATGTTACGAGGCGATCGGGAAAGGGTGGGGGGCGATAATAATCAGAAACATTAAGAATTGTTTAAAATAATGCTTTAACCAAAGAAAAACGTGTCAGTCACTTTTTTAAATGTTTGATTAATCTCTTACTAAACTGCAAAATAACACTAAAAATAAATAAATAAATAAAACTGTGCAACATGCCTTGCGATCAGATTCCAGTTTATCAGCTAAAAGCTGGGACAAACTTCTGTGCTTGCGAAACGGAGACGTCGATCAAAAAATTAATTGAAATTTGTTATTTCTTATCCACTTGAACTGAGAAGAACTTAACCAGATCGTTAATTCACCATAGCCAAGAGGTAGTAAATTCTTGCCCTCGACCAAGCTCTTGGTCACATTATAAGTGATTGTCCACGTTTGTCTAGCTCCGTCTCAGTTTTAATGGAGATAATTTCATGGAATGGATCCGAGGTTTTCCTATCCCTGTTTACCTACCACCACCTCTAAGAAAGCCTACTATCAAGCACTTTCATCCCTACAGTATTTTGAGTACCTCGATGCCGCAAATATATTGCATACTTACAAACATCCATGCCTTCTCCAAGATTCGAACTTGGATGCATGGCTATGATCGCCGGCTTCCTGATCATCATACAAAAAGCGTAGCATGGATGTCTTTAATATGAAGAAATATCTACTAGTACGAGTGATATAATACTGAAATCGAATGTTTTTTTGCAATGAGAAATATTTCCTTCTGCATATCTACGAAACGTTAAATAAATAGGAATTGCAAATATTCCGAATTGCAGGAGCCGAAGTTTATTGATGCATATTCAAACCAGCAGGAAACTGTATAAATTCTCCTTTCCGCTTCTTAAATAAAAATAATGCAGTTCATTGCCGTCTTACAAAACAAAATTTCTACTGTTATACGAAATAAAAACAAAAATATTCGAATTTTAAGAATTTGGATGCTTGATTCTGCATTTGTATTTTGGATATAAAAAGGTATAAAGAAAAAGGATGTACTACATTATTGTTTGAATTTTAAAAAACTTTGAAAAAACGTAATTTGGAATAAATTTTAAAAAGTTTATGTAGACGATTACAGTCTACATAAACTTTTCAACAATTGATTTATTTATTATTATAGAATTCTATTATTACCATTCGATTTTACTTTTGCTGTAAATGGCAATATGCGCTGAAAATACAGTAGAAATTTTATAGAAATAATTTTTATATGCTTTTGAAAATGTCTTTTATGAATTATATCAGTGGTTCCAAAACTTTTCCGAGTCGCGGAGCCTTTTTTCAATTAAAATTTTGTCATATTTGTGTATTTTCACTGTTAAGCATTTTTTACCTTATTAACATTAAACTAATCATTAATGTGATGGATAATCCTACAAATTCATTGCACATTTTCTCAAATTGTGGAATTAATGATTATCCTCATTACCTTTTCCACATTGATTTATTTTCTCTATATTTGCATTTTATTATAGTGACCGTCGAAAACTTAGCTTCGCACAAATACGACGTCAAAAATGGAATTAAAATCCGCTGAGTCTTATCTCTTAGAAAGGTTACTCATCTTTTATTGAAATTCAAAATTCTATCAATACCATGCTGCCAAATTTTGCTTTCAAACTGTTGTCGCGTGATAACTAGATAAAATTCTCTTCTTCCGCAGACGTAAATTCAGACGAAACACTAGTGTTAAGTGGATCTTTAATCCATTCACACCTATCGAAATTTTCGTTTTGAAAGTATTTCTCAAACCAGATAATTAGCTTCGATCGTGGTTTTTATCCCTTTCAAGCATGGTTTTTATACCTTAAGAAAGATCAAGTTCATTTAATGTCAGAAATTGCTGTAGTATTAAAAAACAATCTTTGCTTGCACATCTTTTTCAATTTTTTCCTCCATAGTTTTAGTATAAAAACTGATATTTTTTCCGTTGACTGTAAGGGGTGCATGTTTTGTTCTTGCAAAGAGAGATTAAGGGAATTCTGCTTTTCAAAACTGTGGCATAAGTATGCGAGTTTTATTAAGAAATCGCCATCGGCAAAATCTTATGCATTCTCTTCTTGCCTGTTTCAAAGATAAAACATTACCACAAGAGTTATAGTACAACACAAATGATGTTCGGCACCTATGTCCTCATATCACAGTTTCTTAAAAAATCTTGTTTTGAACGGACGAGATTTTATAAATGTTATCTCATTCACCATGCATTCTAACACCTGCTTCAGTGCAGGACTCGGATGCTTTGATGCAAGCGCTGCTCTATGAATAATGCAATGGATTTCAGTAAATTTGGTGATTTCCTTCGAATAAGTAAGTGCCTGCAATCCTCCACAGCAGCCAGACATGGAGTGAGTTCCATCAGTACAGACACCAACGCATTTAGGCCAATTCAAATTATTTTCAAATATGAATGTATTAAGAATCTCAAATGGGTTCTCAGCCTTCGCTCCTGCAGTGATATTATTAGGAAACAAAAGGTCTTTAATATTATTACCATCTTATAAACCCGTACATAGCAAATCAGATAGCATCCTTATTAATATCCGTAGCTTCCTCTAGCTGCATTGCGCAAAGATTATCGTTATGAAAGCTTTTTGTTTTTTCATATTACGGCAGAAATAATAAATCTAGTAACGAAATTGTTACTTTTGTTGCTGATTTTCTCTGATAAGCATGAATCGCATGAAATCTGACATTAAAGAAAATGGTGGACTTTCGACTCCAAGGAAAAAAAAAAACATCTCTGAAAGTTGGTACATGCAAACCCGAATCATACGACATGAGCTAACTTTAGTAAGAATACGAAACCTTTATAAGGTACTTTCTCCTGCTTTTTCGCATGCCTTCTAGTGTAATGGTAGCACACTCGACGCGTATTCGAGGGGTCCAGGCTCGAGTCCCGGCGGCATATTTCACAAGTGCACATCTGTGTAGCCACCGAGGGAGTGGCTTCTAGGATGGACCAATGAGTATCCAGTAATATATCTGTCATCTCAGATGACCTTTCGCATGCTTTAATATGTTTGAAAATATTTTGTCACGCAATTTTCTATACAAAATAATTAAAGCATCGTCGATTTCTTCTAAAAATTTTCATTGCGAAGTTAGATCAAATATAAGCGGTTGTGAAGATTTCACTACCTGGTTGAAAGAATTTGAAATAAATGATGGACACCCCGCAAAAATATCCACTTGAAGTATTACTTAATAAGTGGTAAACAACACGAAGAAATAAATATGTGATAAACATCTGAGCCCAAATGCTATCTTTACGTAAAACTATGCATAGGGGAAAAATATTTGCACCAATATATATATGTAAATAGAGTCAGCTCTTTTTTTGCAGTCTATATGAAAAAGATGTTTTATAATCATAGCCAAATGCAGAATTTTACTCAAGTAAATTTACGCAATTTGCATGCGTATATTTTAGTATGTTAAATTACATTAACAATGCCCTTTAAAGTCTTGTCTTCACAAGCAATATCATCAAACGAAAGAATTTATCTTATTAACAGAATAATTCATTTTCAGATATAACATTTATACGAAAATGGATATAATGTGTTCACAATTGTATCTGCATCTTATAAATTTCAAAATCAAAAGAATGCAAGCACTGAAATCAGAAAACACTAGATCCTAGTAACCGCTCAGTCTCTCAGCTCAATAATAAGAATAAAAAATATGCCTAATTCTACCCTATATATATACACTGAATCCTAATCCACGATTAATATGTGGATGTTAAAAATTCGAGGCTAATTGTAGATTCATCATTTTCGCTGTAAAGAGGATATATGCCGCAAACAATCCCACTTATGCGTGATAAAAATCGCGAAAGTGAAATGTCAGCGATTAAATAAAAATTATAAAGCGAAAGCACTACAGAATTTTCTATTATTACACCATACATTTATAACTGCGAAGCAAACTCAAATTAAAACGCAATTCACATGCACGAAGATTTAGCGTTACAAGAGCAATAGAAGCTCAGTGGTCCACTTTCGAAACCCCTCCCTCGGTGGCTACGCTGATGTGCACTTGTTAAATATGCGTCCCGGCGAGGGCAATGCCCACTTTTCATATCTCCTGATTCAAAATAAACCTATCACTCTAGAATGGCCCCCGAACTAAAAGGGGGTGGACGATAATTAGTCACAACCATTATTTGGTGACTGGGTCCCTTAATCAACAGTCGCCTTTTAAAAGGGGGGGCGTATATAAGGTATTTTTCCCCTCCTTTCTGCATGCCTTCATGGTGAAACGGTAGCACACTCGGCGTATGCTCCAGAGGTCCAGGTTCGAGCCCCAGCGAAGGCATTGCTTATTTTTCATGTCTCCTGCTTCAAAATAATCTAATGACTCTTCAAGATCGCGATTTCTGTTTACGGTATGAGCCGTGGAAAGGTCATTCGAGCCTTGCACATGTTCTCAAGTTAGATTGTTGTGAGGTATAGAGCGATCTAGAAGACGCAGCGTTGCCGGCTAGTGTTCGCAAGAATAATCTACGCCGGCGACTTATACAGGGTCAAATAAAAACAACCACACACAAAAAAAAAATTCTAGATATTTTTAGCTTCTCACTTTTTTTTGTTTAATTAAACCAGATGTTTTGGTTTAATTAATTATGAAGCTTGTACAAAATTTCTCAGCGCTTTTGCGAAGAGGCTGCGGCTCCCTGGGGGGGGTGTCGTGGCGCACAGTTTGGGAACCACCGAATTATACTAATAAAATTCTTTCATTCGTTAAAAATTTTTTCAACAAAGCATTTCGGCAAGCTTCTTATTTTAACAGGAAATAAAATTTTTACCTTTTACTTATTGAAGTTCACGAGAACTGATTTCGGGGGCTATGAACTAAAATTTCAAGGACATATTCAAGGTCTGATAACTAACCTGATCCAGGTATGACGCAGAAAGGTAAAGATTTGCTCCACTTGCCATTTTCTTGGCACTCATATGAAGCTTCTGGAACACCTTTTCTATCTTCATAATGCTCGCATGCTATGTTACAGCTTGGTGCAGTTTTGGTTGTGCCAGTATAACAGTCGACGGAGCCCGTGGACACAAGAGTAACAGAGCAGTCAATGTATGCTGTAAGTATAAAACCACGGTAAAGTTAGCTTAAGAAATAAATACAATTGAGCATTTCAAAAATAATTCTGGTTTTGAAGCGTGATATGAAGCGATAAAAAAAGTAAAAGTAACCAGTATTTGAAATGACAGAAAAGTGGCGGATACAAACCGTTGTCACCATTTGGCGTCATATATGCGAAAGAGGTGAATAGATGCCAGCATACCACACTGGCGTTGTGTGTAAATCGCTGAATGAGATTAGTGCTATCAAATATATGTAGGGTACCTCATAGCCTTTCAGCACCTTATTTGCTAGGTGCCATATTTGATACCCAAGCATACCAACAGCAGTGTAATATACTTGCGGGCATCGCCCATTCGTTGTCCATGACTTTTATTATAAACCGTTTTTCTGAGATCAAAAGATGACTTTATACATTAAGATGATACTTTTAACACTTTACTTTAATTTCATCTTTTACATCTAAGGGCAAGAAGATCAAAGATTTTAATAGATGCATTCCTGTATTTAACGATCTTGATGGCTATACGGTGGCGGGGCTGGAGGGAAAACTGCTTAGCATTGTAGTGTTCCTCAGGACTGGAGATTGACATGCGAAGTTTAAATTCGAAAATATAAGTCGGTGTATCAAGCCGACTGATTGTATACAAAACGGCTTGGAGTGGCTTGTAAGAAATCTAATGAATCACAATTATGGCAATACATTCTGATTGTTGCCAGTTCTTCAAGACTCTCTGACCACGAGAGCAAAATTTCAATATTCAACTATTAAAAAATTGGTGATACCATGGAGCTAAGCGCATACATTGATTTTAATGGGTTAAAGCCCATTGGTTTTGGGCAATGGAGGGCGGCTGTCTTGCAAAGGAGGCAACAATGAGTAATGTATTGAAACTGTGGTGTACAAGCATCCAGGAAATGCATTCCTGTGAGTATGTCATGTAGATCCCGTGAGAATAAGGCCAGACTCTGTAAAATACTATTTTATGAAGATTTGTTCTAAGGAAAACTGAAATAACAATGACATGACTGATCAGTTATTACAGGTCATGTGAGATCCCTTATCTGAAAAGATTCCATGTCAAGTAATGATTATGTAAAGTTGTACAAAGTAGGAGCAATGTCCTTTATTACAGACGTAAGGTAACAGATGCCTTGATGGAGCGAACTAGCTTGATGAAAAATGGTTTACTAAGGCAGAGGACTAGCGCAAAGATTTGAAGATTATTAACAACAATAAAGAGCATTGGATGTGTGATTCGTGTATTTATATAGTTGTGTGGTGATTTTTGTACTGGCGTAGCCCGTATAGGGTCATAAGGCAAACTTTGTTTTGCAAGGTGGACCGGGCTGCGCCCTAACATAACACAACACAACAGCCCGCACAGTGGTGCGAGTGAGCTCGTGGGCGTAGTTGACAGACCCGATATGTTGTCGTGTATAACGCCGCTAGGTTATGGGGTGCAGTGTAAGCACCTAGTCAGCTCTGCCAAAGATTATGTTTTGACACAACATAAACGTTGTAGAGACATTAGGTATATTTTTTGGAAGCAGGAAAGAAGAAAAATAGCAACCGCTTTCGCCGAGAATCGAACCGCGGACCTCTGGAATACCGGCCCAATTTGCAGAACCACTACACCACAAAAGCACGCTAGGAAAGCGAGAGAATAACCTTATAATGTAACATAAACGTTAGATATAGACGTTCATACGTCAGACGTGTAAAGACACAGACGTTCTTTGGCTCTGCTATGAGGCAGCAGGCTGGTTGGGTATGGCTGCGTGAGCTTGTGAAAGATGCTGCTGTGATGCAGTTTTTCGTCTGTGTGGGCGAGTGTGTATGTATAGTGATTACGAGAGCCAGTCAAACGCTCGCATCACGAAGCAATTCAGCTGCGTTCACACTGGTCCGCTGACGCGAAAAGCGGGGAAAAAAAGCGCTTTCCGCATTTTGTATAAGTGTATGTAGGACTTATAGGATTACTAAATTTAATATCATACTCGAAAAAAGGAAGCAGTTATTTTTAAGTAAATAAACAACAGAAAAAAAAATGTTTTAGTTTCTGCCTTATGTACATATTTTTTACCTTAAAGTAATTGTAATTACTTCGGTTAGTCATTCATATATTAATGAACAGCCACTATATAAAGTTTTATTATGTAAAGTCAGTTTTATCTAAAACTCATTGAAGTAACTGCATTTCATATAATACTTCTTTTTCTATGTTAAAAATTGAATAACACAATTAATAAATTTGCTAATGCTCATGCAAAAGCTCTTTAAATTAATGTAAAATTATCATCAGGATTAAACCTTTGACTAAGTTCATGTGTAAATTGCCTGAAAAGTGGTCATGCATGTTCAGAAAAACAATTATGAAGCCATTAAAATGCCTAAATGTATTCCATAAAATAAGGTAAGATTCCATAAAAAGGCCAGGCGAGAGCCAGGATGAAGAAGTCTGAGGGGCAAAAGAGTCTACATCCATGTCGCTCCCCCAGACAAGGAAATCCAAAAGAAAGGTACAGGACCTAGAGGAAAGGTGGTCTCCACAAGAAGTCAAGCGCAGAACCGGTTAGACAGAATCCTCAACCAGAAAGGAAAATCAACTCGATTCTTCGCCAAGAGCTGAAAAAGGAAGGAATTCATGCGGGGAAATGATGGACGGTCTATAAGGAAAGTCCTAATTCAAAGCCTGCATTTCCACAAATGAAACTTAAGAAAACAAAAGGATAAATGAAAAATTTCTTCGTGTTCTCATTTTGAATTGAAGTTCAGTTTATATCATTTTGTTCAAAGTTGCATTTTGTCAAACGAGAACAATTGTTTTTTGCAAGATTTTTTTTAGTTCGAAAGTTCACGAATGCAAAAGTGTACTGTAAATATCTTTTAGTCTTAAAGACTTGAATTTACGATTCAAATGGTTGCAAACTAGAAGTTGAAATTAAATTTTTCGAAAAGGTATAAGGTATTTCTCCCACGTTCCTAGCGTGCCTTCGTGGTGTAGTGGTTCAGCACACTTAGCCGGTTCCAGACGTCCGTGGTTCGATTTCCGGCGAAGGCGGTTGCTAATTTTTCATCTCTCTTGCTTTCGAAAAAATTACCTAATGTCTCTACAGTGGCGCTCGAACTAAAAGGTGGTAGATGATCATTTCTTCCCAACCGCCAAGGATTTGGCGATTGGGTCCCCTAAAAACCCCAGTCGCTCTTTAAAAAGGGGGAGTATATAAAGCGCTTCTCCTACTTTCCTAGCGTGTCTTCGTGGTGTAGTGGTTAAGCACACTGAGCCGGTATTCCAGAGGTCCGTGGTTCAGGTACAGGACCTAGAGGAAAGGTGGTCTCCACAAGAAGTCAAGCGCAGAACCGGTTAGACAGAATCCTCAACCAGAAAGGAAAATCAACTCGATTCTTCGCCAAGAGCTGAAAAAGGAAGGAATCCATGCGGGGAAATGATGGACGGTCTATAAGTAAAGTCCTAATTCAAAGGCTGAATTGTCAAAGTTGGGAGAATTTATCCACAAAAGAATGAAGGACTTCAGAAAACAAAAGGATAAATGAAAAATTTCTTCGTGTTCTCATTTTGTGCTCTCATTCTCCCGGCGAAGGCGGTTGCTAAATTTTCATCTCTTCCGCTTTTCCAATTAACCTAATGTCACTACAAAGGATTGTAAACTGTGTACGTTTTGACGTAAAATGAATCTGAAAACGTTACTATGGTAAATGTGTAAAAATGTTTGCACTGAAAGTAAAATTTTAGGTGATGAATGCAAAAGTGCTTTAAAGATTAAACTTTGTTTAAATGAAATATCTGAAAGAAAGTTAATAGAATGAATGTGTTAAAGCTAGGCCCTCCACTTACACGAAAGTTTAAAACGCTTTCGGGCGTGTAGTACACTAGGTATTAGGTATAGTATTGATATTGTTACGAAATGTACAGGCGCGGTAAGATGGCTTCCCGCAAAGCAATTTTAAGGTTGCCATAAAATAACAAAGGAAGGCACGGTTGCCATTGGGAGAAATCGCTATTGACGATGCCATGGACGGATGGAGAACTTCTGGAACGAATTTAGCGTTGGCCCAAAATGTCTCGAACACAAGCCGAAAGATATAGAAACATGAGGTCCGTAGTAGTAGGTGTCTAGAGAGGTGCCTCGTTAACGGCCGCGTGCGGAGTCGACGAGTTGAAGCCGGGCAACGAGTGCGAGGGGTCGTGAGTGACCGAAGGAGCTCTAGGGATCGCGGTTAGGCATAGTCGAGCAGGTGTTGAGCTCCGAACGCTGAACCGAGAGTCGGAGCGTGCTCGTGTGTGTCGATGCATCGTAGTTGAGGTGAGGTCTTAAAGTAGTGGAGTTCCGAGAACGACCAAGCAGAGTCGGGAGCTGTACTCTGGTGCTTTGCCAGGAAGCTGTCTCCACCGTATGCCTGACAGTGTGAAGGCTTGTCGATGATTGTCAGCGTGTTAGTAGTTGATCGCCGACTGTAAAAACGTGTTTTGGAGCACGGTGTAAAGACGTGAAACGTGTTTGGTGGCAATCGACTAATAAAGTGTGTTTCGATACTTCATCAAGTGTCGTCGTTATTCACTCCAAATCTACGAACCCCGTACGAACGTGAAGGAATAATATAAGTTAACAACTGGTGTCAGAAAAAGAAAAACGCAACAACATTAAGGTGTCATTTTAGGTCTGGAATGTCTGGATTTTATTTTTACTTTTAGGAACTTGGCTAGATGGTAGTGTTGTTCGTTTCAACACAACATTTACACGCTAGCATGTTTACAGGACAAACTTCTAGAGAGCGTTGGAGGAATGAGTTAAAGGTATGAGTGAATGAAATTTGGTTGAAGGTCAAATAAATGTAATAAAGTGTATATTGTACAGGAAAGAGAAAAGCAGTTTTCTGTATAGAGTACTAATACTTTTTCCTTCCAGATATTATATTGGAAGGACGAGATAAATTGTCATCACGATTCAACAAGTGAGTCAAGATGATGTATGTAGTTTCAGTGTCAAGAATGGAAAATATGTAAAAATAATTCTCTTTTTATCTTAGTTTTTAGCTTAGGTTTCGGTCACTTTGTAAAGTTGGCCCTAAAAACTAGTTAAAATTTCGATTTTCAGTAGTGTAACTAAGAGAAATCAACAGTTTAGAATCTAAAGTTTGAGAAGCTTAGAAAGTAAAATTAAGAGAAGGTTTTTCTAGAATGAGCTCTCAACAAAATCTTTCCTTTTCAC